TCTTTAATGGTTGTTAAGACTGTACGACAAATTCATCCCAAAAAACAAACGCATTCAATCAAGATGGCACCACCTCATACGTGTCTTCACTTGATGTTTGACAAAGTAAACCTTTCCCTTTCCACCCAGCTGCATTGCATGTCCATTTATGACACACACCAACACCCACTCTTCCCTGTGAAAATACCTAATCATCCTTCTGCCGCTTCCAGGAACCTCAACTACAATTAACCGCTTCCACCGTTTTGAAACTGTCAGCCAACAAAACCAACTTTCTTAAGACAAAGAAGGACAAAAACACAACTTCCACTTATCAATGAACAGAAAAAACACAACATCATATTTCTTCTCACAATCCTCCTTTCCTCCACTCGCTTCATGTCTTTCAATATCATGCTCCAATCCTCGCCCTTCCTCGCCCTTCTTTTTCTTTTATTTCTTCTTCACAGTTTCTCAATACCAACATGTCATTGCCAAACCACCACTTCTCCCCCTCAGAACATCGAAACTTTCTATCCAAATCAAACTTCGGCACCACAAAATCCTGAGACATCACCACAGACACAACAACCACCAGCTGCTGACACACCACCTGGCCGTGGTTCTTCCAGTGGTAAGATAGCCAAGGCGGTGGCTGCAACTGCAGCCAGCACCCTAGTTTTTTCTGGTTTAATTTTCTTTCTGGTGCAGAGGTTCTTGAGGGCCCGAAAGAGAAAGAGAGAGGTGATAACTAACACTGCTTCTGGTGGAGATAACCGTGTTGTGCCTCAGGGAAATGTGTTTGAGAGAATTGATGGAAATGTGAAGGGCTTGATTGTGGATGAGGATGGTTTGGATGTGATTTATTGGAGAAAGCTTGAAGGGAAGAACTCTGACAAGGATCTATATAAGGAGGTTTTGAGTAGTCCCAGAAACAAAGAAAAAGAAGATGGTGATGGTGAAAATCAAGCCAAGAAGTCCAAGTCCATCCAAGAAGTTCCTCTCCTTAGAGGGAAATCTTCAACTTCCCACTTGAATGTATCTCCAGAAGAGGATGAGCCATACAGATTTTCCCCACTTCCTTCTCCTCCTGCTTCTTATGTTTCTGTCTCTGCTCCCACTCCTTCCACTCTTCCTTCATCAGCTGGGGTTGTTATCAAGGGTGCTCAGAAACCAGACTCTCCAACTCAACCCTCAACTCCACCCCCTCCCGTTTCACCATCAACACCTTCATCCTCTACTTCTGTTTCAGCAGTTCCGAAAGCAAATAATCCTGCGCCGGCACCTCCCCCTCCCCCAGTCCCAGCCCGAAGGAGTCCAGCACCACCTCCTCCTCCAGCCTCATCAAAAGCACCACCTGCTCCCATTCAAATTCCAGCTATTAAGCAAGGAAACTCTTCAGGAAAAGGCATCCCAGAAACCAGCAATGACCAAGTGAAGCTGAAGCCTCTGCATTGGGATAAGGTCAATACTAATAATGCTGATCACTCCATGGTTTGGGACAAAGTTGATCGTGGCTCTTTCAGGTAATCGTCATGTGTTATGTTTTGTTGAATGAAATAATGAAATGTATATTTTGCTCATTCCGGCTTTGATTTTACTGATCATCAAGCATAACATTTCAGGGTTGATCAAGATCTCATGGAAGCTCTCTTCGGTTATGTCGCCACCAACAGGAAATCTCCCAAAGGAAAAAGTCACTCAGCCATTCCAAGCAACGATGCCTCAGCTTCATCTGCAAAAGTTTTCCTTCTTGACCCGAGAAAATCACAGAACATTGCTATTGTTCTCAAATCTCTTGCAGTCTCACTAGGTGAAATTGTTGATGCACTCACTGATGGTATGGGCCTCAAACCAGATACTCTTGAAAAGCTTGCTAGAGTTTCCCTAACAGAAGAAGAGCAATCTCTCATCCTTGAATACAAAGGAGACCCGGCAAGACTTGCAGCAGCTGAATCTTTCCTTTATAATCTCCTCAAAGCTGTTCCCTCAGCTTTTAAGCGCTTGAATGCCATGCTATTCAGGTTGAACTATGACTCGGAGATTCAAGAAACCAAGGAATCTCTGCAGATCATTGAACTGGGTTGTAAGGAGCTTAAAAGCAAAGGACTCTTTGTGAAGCTTCTTGAAGCAGTGCTAAAGGCAGGAAACAGAATGAATGCAGGAACTGCAAGGGGCAATGCACAAGCTTTCAATTTGGCTTCTCTGAGAAAACTCTCTGATGTTAAGAGCAGCGATGGAAAAACCACATTACTTCACTTTGTGGTTGAAGAGGTAGTCCGTTCTGAGGGAAAAAGGGTTGCTCTTAACCGCAATGGCAGCCTGAGAAGTAGCAGCAGTAGGAGCAGCAGCAGTAGCAATGGAAACTATGAGAACAATGTTGCTTCAAATGAACTGATAGAAAGGGAATATACGACACTAGGATTGCCAATTGTGGGAGGGATCAGTTCTGAGTTATCCAATGTTAAGAAAGCAGCACAAATAGATTATAACAATTTAGTTAATTCAATCTCGGCCCTCTCAACCCGGTTAGTCAAAGTTCAAGAACTGGTTTCCTTGTGTGGAAATAACGAAGAAGGACATTTTGTAAAAGAAATGGATCATTTTCTTAGAAATGCTGAGGAAGAGCTGAAACTATTAAGGGAGAAGCAAACAAGTGTATTGCAGCTCATCAAGAAAACAACACAGTACTATCAAGGAGGAGCTTCAAAAGAAACTGCAGAAGACAATCTTCATTTGTTTGTCATAGTGAAGGATTTTCTGGGAATGGTTGATCAAGTATGCATTGAGATTGCACGTGATATGCAGAAGAGAAGATTTCCTCCTAAGGCCATTTTTGGGTAGTCATCATCACTGGAACCTAAACAAATCAGTTGTGATCGTAAAATTGCTGAAACATACCACAACATATAGCTCCAAAAATTATTCAACTTGTGCTGTTGGATGAGGGGACTGAAGTTCCCTAAATAAGATTTCTGAAAGATTGGAGTTTTGTTGTGTGATCATCATTCAAAGTTTTTAGAGTTTACCATGGGCTACAACTCAAAAGACAATTCCTAACCACAAAATCTTCAAAAATATTGTGCAAGCAGGGTATGGTTTTACAATTCATAATCCGAAACCTTCTTCATCGTTTTAACATTTTCCAGCATTAAATGTGTAAATGTAAGCGTCAACAATTCTTGAGCAAACTTAAATTCTGGTGCATATTTGTTCGATTCCTTGAGCGTCAACCAGAACTTGGTTACTTCTTTCTGTTGTATATAGTATTGTAATTTGTAATTTTGGATATATGGATTTTATTCATATTTTTTCAGATAAAGAGTTTTGTCATATGCAAAAAGATCATAGAATTAATAACTGGTATAGTGTTATAAGCGTTGTTAGTAAATATTTCAATGACTAAGTTAATAGTAGTTATTAGTGTTAGATATTTTAACTCAACTACATATGAGGTGAACTCATAATATATGGCTGCATAGCCAATGTTTGTAAAATTAAATTAATTTTTAAATTGTTAAAATAGTATCAAAATTATCTGAAATTTATTTGAACAAAATTATATGTTTGATAAGGACAAAGCGGTCATGATTCTCCCAAATTTCTTTCTCTAAATTTTTAAAAGAAATATATATATACGTTAAATTACATTTTAGTTTTCCTAAATTTAATTAATTCTTCTAAAATTATTTAAAACTTTTACACAAGAATATTTTAGTTTTCCTAAATTTAATATAGTCAACTATATGATTATGCATAGTTGACTTGGCATAATCACATGTCACCATAGAACAAGTTTGGTGAAAAACAAAAGTTGACCTGATAAGGCAACGGAATTCATGTCATAAACAATGTTGTTTTAATTTATTCAGCAAGAGATTGATTCTCAGATTGCTGCCAACCTATCACCAAATAAGATTTGCTGTTAACTACTCCTCTACACGAAACAGTAAATTTGGCTTGACAATGTCCCCCAAATTCATAAAATAAATTCCAATGGACAACCGTTTCAACAACCTTCTATTTTTCTACCTTATTCGGATTAGGTAGTCTTCACAACTACACCTGCATTTTAAGTGATTTAAGATAAATTTCTCTATAGCATTTCTAAGAAAATAAAGAACAAATAAAATAAAATAAAATAAAGTTTTCTATAAACTACATTTAATTTATATTAACTTCTTTATCTCCTTGTGTTAAGGCGCGTGAAGAATAAGAGCAAGAATTACAATAAAACCCCCCCAAAAAAAAATATAAAATTATTAAAAGAACTCGAAAAATAAAAAATAATATACTTGTTAACATAAATATTTATGTTATGGTTGTTGGAGTGAATTCACACAGTAAATTCACTCCATACATGAATTTGTTCAATCGAAATATAAATTGAATTTGTGTTTGATTTCGTTCATTTCAAATCTACCCCACTCACTTTCAAATCTTCTAAAAAAAGCAACATTCAATTTACTATCAAATCTCTTTAAATCTATCTGCTTTCTTCCTCAAATTCATCCTTCCAAATGAACACAACCTTAACAATGATGTCCATCTAGTAAACGTTGTTGACTTTTCCTTTCTAGCCATACCCAAAATCAATCAAGAACAAGACACCTGAAGCTTAACTCCGATGGAACTACTGCGAAAATTTGTGCAATGCAACTGTTCAAGAGTTATTGCTTGTGTAGTAGGTATCCCCATTTTCAATTCCTTATTGGGTCCCAAGAGCTTTTCCCTTGATCCCACCCAAAAATAAATATCCCCCAATAGTTGGAAACAATGCAACCAGTCATAAGAAAATTCATGCATTCTCATTCTCACATTGGACATTGTAGTTATACAACATTGTTTCTCACACCAAATTTATTACCAATAATTGATGCTTTGCTCTTTCCTACTCCTTACATTGTTCATCAGCTCCTATAGTCCTATATAACTAGATAATTGTTCTCCTGTTGCAGACTAAACTAAGATATCATAGTGTGACCAGACTAAGATATCATAATGTTTTCAACCTCTTTTTGTCATGCTTCTTAGGCTACCTCCATTTCTCCATCTTAATTTCCTCCTGCATAAGCACACAAGACAAAAGTAGCAGTTAATATAGCAGAGACTTTCCACGTATTGGATGAAAAGATTTAACACGACATGGTTGGTCAACTACAATTTGAAAGAAAATCTTCCTACTTTCCACTATTTATGATGTTTTATTACCCTCACTTTTGGTGGTAGTAGGTACATTTGTATATATAATTTAATGCATATAACAGTGTAATGATATTTTGATGATCTTTTATAATGATTTTAATTATGGGGGGTCCATAAGAATCCTAGCCAAAATCCCCAAAGTTGAAAAGGCAGTAAGTACTATGCTTCACAGCTCATATAATGTAGAACATAATAAATTCAGTTTTAGATTTGAAAATAATTTATATTCCATGCCTCTTAGATTTTCAGTTAAATTTTAGTTTTTTTCCAGTAGCAACAGTTGCATAGTTTACTTGAAGTAGCTGACACCACTTACGGGGAAAAGACAAACTATCTACTACTGTTTAAGAAAACATAATGGCATTATATAGTAGGACGAATTGATGGAAAGGAAAAAGAAATTAGCAAACAGTGTGATATAGTCCTTTAAATGATGACAAAATGTGGAATGTGGACCTTATGAACTTTCATCATTATCTCTTATGTGACCCTCCACTAACTGCTGAATCACTATGCTCATTGGGCAGAAAATAGGTTGTCCTTTTTAGAGCAAAATAAGATGGCTAGATCATACAGCTGTTTTCTTATTCCTACAATCACCACCAGACTGTTAAGTTGGACAACGCAAGTTTTAACTGGCTTCAATTATATATTAAGTATTAAGCATGAAGAAAAAAAAATTGAGATAAGGTTTAACAAACTACTTTTCATGCATGAAAAAGATCAGCTATATAAAGTCTTCGCCCTATTTGCTGAACTGGTAATGATAAATTTACAATGCACAGTAGCAAACCTTCTGTGAATGGTTTTTGGATGCTTTCTGACCCTGGTGAAAAGCTGGCAAGGAAGTGACCTTGATATTATGTTTTATCTTTTCCTCCTGTGTCAAAAGTAAACATTGTTAAGAATAGCCGAACTTATGATAGCCCCACCATTCTTTAGATTCACGTACACACACTCAAGCAATGGCAAGAGAAGGAAATTGTACCTTTGATTTCGATTGATGATGCGTTCTTTCTACCTCTTTTGTATAAAATTTTTCTTCTATTTTTCTTGGAAACTGAATAAAATACAAAAGATTAAAGAGTTTGATCAGTAAAAACAAAACAGTAGTTTCAAAATCTCGTGAGAACCCTTGATCACAAGTGCTGGATTGTGTAGACATGCATCAAGAGTCGGGGCACACCTCTTTTCCTTTCTCTGCTTTAACATCAGTTTTTAGGCCGAAAGCAGTTCGTGCAGTATTCCCACTTCTTTTACCAGCACTGTCAACCTTGGGTGACCTATTTCATTCAAAAGCATCAGCTTACATGCAATTGAACTCCTTATACGTTCATCAAATAAGTTTTATGGTGCACATTCTCGTAATGAAGGAAGGAAATATGAGGGCTGACAATCTAGTCTTACAGAATGACCATGTATAATGATTTTCATGTTCCCTCAATCATAAACAAACTTTCTCCCTTCCGCACTAACAATTCTCCAGCTATGTTTAATCTGTTCCGAATTTTCACTATATTATTAAAGACTCAAAGTTTTACTTCAAAAGTTGAGTGAGTCATGGGACAAGCAAGCAGAGTGCATAGGTTCAAACCAAATAATGCAGTCAACACCCCCTTCCTTGTGGAACCTCAATCAGGATGGTTCCTCCTTTTCAACCCAAAAACTATAATATATCATATTTTACTTCAACATTAGACCTATTTGGTTGAACTTCTCCATAAACAATGTTACAAGAGAACAAGAAGGGAATATGAAATAATTTTTTTCAAAAGTTAAAATTAGTTTATACATAAGCTAAGTTGTAGAAGTTATCCCTCATTTTGCTTCTTCAAAATAAGATTTTTTTACTCACTCAAATTAAATTTAGCTTCTGGAAATTTTAATTTCATTCCTTTCTTCTTATATTCATCTCCTACAAGTGTTCATGAAGAAGTTTCCCAAACAAACATTATAAATTATGATATGGAAGATGGGGGATTGGGAACCCTGGCTTAAAGGCTTGAATAGTTGCCTTGTGACCCAAGTCACATATTTGAGTCATAGAATCAGCATCCTGCAAATGGATGGTAAGACTCTCTAATATAGGGTCACATAGTGGCCATTTTATAGCACCGTGCTTTAGTAAGAAAAAAAAGCCTTTGATAAAAGGATACCACAACCTGGAAAAACAGAATGCTTCTATAATTGGTATTAAAATGATGGGGCATAAGTTAGTAAGTCAATATTATAGTCATAGGATAACAAAAGAAGTCTGAATCCGAAAATTGATTGACACAATAACAAGTAAAAGCGCATTGCACAAAATCTGGCAGTCAAAGGAAGTTCCAGTTGAATAACACAATACTGCCATATGTCTAATTTGTAAGTAAGCAAGATTTTACGGGACAAATCATGTTATAAGTAAAGTTTATATTGTAAAATCATGACCTATTTCAGTAATAGAATACATATGATGATTGATTGCTTATACTTTCCTCATTTACTCACATTTATATGTTGTTTCCATGACTAACACTCCCCCACAGAAAACCAACAAATTTTGGTTTCTATTCAGATTATTGCTTTTCAGCATGCAACCATAAGAGGTTAAACACAAAGTTACTACATGAAGGAAATGAAATAGATGAAAATAAGAAACAAATTAATAATGTAGATTCAAAACTTACTGCCCGTATTCCTTTCGCAGAGATATAGATGTCAGATTCCTTGGCTCTGTCACCTTTGAAGGAACCTGCTCAAGAAAAATATAAGCAAATGTTCTCAAACGAAAGTGATTTTCTACTGGTACATATAACCATTTATCAACAATAAACAGTTATCCATGCTTTTCCAAACACCTTTTCTTTTACCAAAGATTTGTTTTCACCAGAAGTTTTGGGCTGATTGAAATTATTCTGAAACGTCTTGAATGCTCGTTTGACTATGTCCTTATCCCCCATTCTCTCCATAATCAAAGATTTCCTCACTGTAGTACGCGGAGCAGGTTCAGATTGGCTTGGACCCAAGCTAAGGGACATGTGCAAAGTTTTATTAGGAACTTTTCTGTTCTCTGCAGTGGAAGCAGTTTCCCTCCCAGATATTGATGGAGAAATTTCCTTTTTAGTTGAAGATGCAGATGCAAATGTTTTGGTGGGAGTTGATGATGGCTTTGGATTCCTAGGAGTGGAAATTCGAGATGCCTTAGGCTTAGACGTAGGTTGCACGGATTTCTTCTTCCCCTTTGTTGCATTACTTTCTCTGCTCACTGGAGTAACCTGTCCAAACTAGATGTTGAAAAATAGAATAATGACAACCAAATAGCCAAATTTTAAATGGTGCTAACTATCATTTAACCACTCAACTTTTCCAATGATCCTAAATTTGCTGAGTACATGAATTAATGTATACCTTCTTAGATGCCTTTGGATTATCCAAGGTCTTATATTGTGCTTCAATTTCTGAAGCCTTTACTGGCTCATTGTTTACATTGTGTGAAACTTCCTTCAAACCTTCAGCTTCAATGTTAGGACTTTCTTCTTTACTCCCTCCTTGTTCAACGCAGACAACTTCTTCCTGTTTTTTCTCTATCAGGGAACCACCACTTGATCTTCTCTCCAGTTTATCATTCACTTTTTCTCCCTCAACTGATGAACCTTGATAATCTCTTGAAACTGCAGCATACTCCAAATTACTCACATCAGTCCTAACAATCTCACCGACTGAATTGATTTCTTGCTTAACCCCTTCACTAGAACCTTGAGCATTGGAAATATCACATTCTGCATCGGTCACACAACTGTTACAACTCAGATCTTCATCGTTTTGATATTGTGTCTTAACAGAAGCTTTCTCCGTCTGCTTCTCTTGAGCAAGCAATTCGGCTTTCCGTGCAGCAACGTTCTTGTAATGAGCTTCAAAGTAAGCTTTCTTCTGAGCAACTGATCCAGGTGTGGCACACTTCTCAACTTCTTCCAAGTACTTATTTGGTGAGAAAGCAGACCATTTCTCCCAAGACAAGGAATCGTTCTCAAATCTACCGAACGAAACAGACACTTGCAAAGCAGGATTGGAAGCTGCCGTCTCCCCCATCTAATTACACAACGGAGAGGAAAGACAAACGAAAGCCAAAAACAAAAACTGCGTTCATAAATACTAGGTAACATAAGGACAATTTCACAATAACACCAAAAGCACAGGATTTTGACAGATACAAACTGAGAAATCAACAAATTACATAAATTTGAAAGAAAAAAGAAAAAAGAATCAATCTTTAGTCTAAGACAATCAAAAGGATAAATGGGTTTACCTTGCCTTCAAAAATTGGTGCAACAACAACTACTCGGCCATAACCCTATATAACCCCCAAAGGTACAGAGCCCTTTCCTGCAAAGAAGCAGCAGTGGGGAAAATAATTATTCGGGGGATCTCAATGGAAATGGCAAGAGTAGTAAAAATTGTCACAATGGGACAAAAAGAAGACTTAGAAAAATTTGCAGCAAATGATGAGTAAAGGAATAGAAGGGACATGTGCATGTGGTGTGAGAATGAGAGAGCACTCATTCTCAGATTCTCTCCTTAACTTCGGTTTCCACCTCACCTTTCCAAAGTAAAGGCATAATTTATCTGCTTTTTGTACTTGTGCTGTTGTGCAAATTCCAAAGTCCTAAATGATAACCCCAATCATCAAAGACAAAGCAAGCAAGCAAACAAGAGTGAGCTAATCCCAGGGGTTGTAGATCACACCACCTGCATCATACCTGCAAAGATCACTTAACTTTTAATGACATTTAAGTACCACTACTTTCCAGTGAAGGCCAAAGTGTAGTGGAACAGACAGAGTTGGAGTTGATAAAATAATTTAGAAGGAAAAGCACAAAAAGAAAAGAAACGACTTTTCAGCAAAAGAATAGTTTAATGGAGTAAAGGAGATTAGCTGGCATGACTTATAAGCTTCCACCAAACATAAAACAAAGTTTCATTTTCCTGTTATTAACTAACTAACCACACCAATGGACTCTAGCCTACACATGTCGCACAGAAGGGTTCAGAAACCGTGGGAGAGAGAGCCAAGACGGCGGTGGTGATAATGAGATTGGATGAACCAATAACCATTACATGAAATTGAAGGCAAGGAAAGAAGGCCCACGTGAATAAAGGTGCACAGTGTGCTAGGAAGTGTGTGAAGGTTACATACATCATACATGTGTCATGTGACAGGTTTCTCTACGAGCTGCATTAATTATCAACCTCACTTCCCCACATGTGGACCCATTTGCTTCACTTTATCTATTTGAAAATCTTTTCAATAACTCCTGTATTGTATGTCAAAAATCAGTTTCTAAGAATTTAGAAAGCAGTAAAAGAAGGTGTAAGATAAGTTTTTGCACAGTAAAATGAAGTCTACCTCAATCTTACACCTCAGAGTGTGGTTGCAGAAATGGGGCCAATCCATACAATGCAAAGGAGTAAGCTACGTTGGACTTGAGTTGAGGGAGAAGTCGTTTTCAGTGGCTCACTCTCTAACTTGAAGTTGATTAGATAACATTTTCCAATGGCACTTGCTTTGTCTCCCCCGCATCCTATGCACATAAGCTATTCTATCAATAGCCCCACTCACACAACCATGTCAACTTTAATTAATATTCTCACCATCTACAATGTTACCTCAACAGGTATTTAAGATCAGAACCCGTAAACTACCTATCTTTGCCTTCTAATCTAATCTAAAAGGGTATCTAAAATGAGAAACCTTTTCGAGGTGTGTGAATTTTTTCATTCAATTTCTTTATAGGAATTTCTCTATCCGACCCAAAACAATTAATTTTCAATCTCTTCAAGCAAGCTTCAAATCGTGTTCTTACTAAAGAAATGATGTACAAGGGTGATGCGTTGTGTATGCATATATGCTTGTGATAAAAAAAGAACCAACAAGCTCCACTACAATAAATTGATAACCGGATACGATAACTATATAATTTTTTTTGTTGTAAGCAATTTTGGATAGAAAGACAATAGAAAATAAAATCCATTCATCTATAAATTATAATTAGATTCTATATATATACACACACACACGTGTGTATTTGTGGGAGTTCTCTTATATAGTATTTTTCACCTATTAATATTAATCCATCCTTAAAAATAAACTTTAAAATTCTATTTTTAAAACAAAACTTCAAAATAATTTTTTTGTAAAAGAAGTTTAAATTTTTTTTAAATGTAAATACGAAAAATTTGGTTAGATCAATTTGATCTACATTAATAGAAGAATGGATTGAGATTGAGAAATAATTTATGGATCGTTAAATGAATAGATTTAATTTAATCTATATTTTATACTCGATAGTAACGGATGAATTTAAGTGTAGATAGCCCAAATAAGAAGTAAATCAATGAATACATTTGCAATAGATTAAAAGAAAAAGTTGGTAGATAATTATAAAAAAAAAAACACCGTTTTAAAATATCAAAAGAGAGCAAATTTTGTAATATTTCAATGTCTTTAGGCAGTTTGTAAGTACGAAAGTTAGGGACCGCAACTTTTCTCCTCAAAGGGGCCTAGCCTGGTCTTACGAGCTTATTAAATATGTCAGCTAAAAACACAAACTTTGGGCTTTAAAGAAAAAAAATTTGTTAGATCTGACAAGTTGTCATGTTTAAATAATATATATATATATATATATATATATATATATATATACTACATATTATATATTATATTAATAATAAGTTTTATAATAAAAAATAATTTTAAAGTGATTTGCATATGATCATGAGTGACTTACCATCATTAATGCATATTTTCGATCTTAGTTATAACTATAAAAAAAACTTATTTATTCATTGTAAATTTCATATGTTTACAAAGAAAGAATAAGATTATAAGAATTAAGTGATCGATGGGTTAAGGAGAATCCGGAACCAAAATAGGCAACTGACCGGCTGTCAAACAAATACTAATCAAGAAAGATAAATATCATTAATGACCAATTAATAGCAGGTATATTAGCAAGTATTATTGGATTTATTGTCATATCAACTATGAATTAATGAGCTTCATTGCTATAAGCCCTATAAATATAGGGTTAATGGCTAGGTAAAAACACCTTGATCTATGATGATAAAATATATATTAGTTCATTAAACCGCTCCTAACTTAGCGTCGGAGTGTCTTTTGTAGGTACCTTCTCCTCCTGCCCAAAGTGACAACCGATCGATCTAAACTAAACGTACAAGCAGAGCACACAAGTCGAAGATTAATGTCTCGGTGTCACAAACCCCACCGAAACAGTAACGAAATCCAAAATTGCGTTATATCTTAGGAAAACAATATATAACCCTATTATTACTATTATTATTATTTTTACTATTATTATTATTTTAAATAATTATTGATCACTTTGAAGATGAAGTGTTTGATATTTCTAATCACATAATTGATTGAAGTTTCAAAAGAGATGAAGATAGTATTTGATTTTTGTTTTTAAGATGTATTTTGGATTTATGATGTGTTAATAACTCTTTAATATGTTATTTGAATTTAATTAAGTTAGAAAGTATATAAAAGTTATTGAGGAATTTGAATTGTGTTTTAATTGATTAAAAAATATTTTAATATGTTAAAATGTTTTTGTTTTTTCTTGTTGGGTTTGAAAGGAAGAAGTTGTAATCGTTTCAAATCTTAGAGATTTACAATTTACTCTATTTTCATCAATTAAAATGAATTTTCAATAGATTAAAACCATGTAAAGTTTTAAATATTATATTTACTTCTCTAATTGATTAAAACAATAATTAAATAAATTAAAACCAGTTAAAGAGAAGATTTTATAGATAAAGAATTTTAATGCATTAATACAAAAACAAGCATATTAATCATAATGAAATTGAACAAAATGTTTTTCATGAATGGGGAAATACTTTTGCAAATTAGAGAGGTGTTTTGCTTGAAATGGAATCACTTTATTAAAATTTCACAAGTCGACTTGGTCTTCAAAGGTAGTTTGAAAGCATGTAGGAGGTGATGCTCGAATTTTCAATGAGGCGTGTAATATAAACATTCTATTTGTAAACATTTGAGTTTGTGCAATTAACAACTTTTCAATAGCTAAATTTTAATACTGATACATGTAATATGAAACAAATCATTGTTATCATATTTGTTCCACTGACTATTAGTTTATCAAATTTGACTTACCAGTCAAGCATATTACGATATTGAGTTTTGAAGTCATTAATCACTTCCTTCAATTGTGATTTCTCCTCTCCTTCTCTTGTTAGGAGAGTTAAGTTACTAACTTTACTTGGTCAAGCACCTTTTGTGGGATTCCAATACTTGATAACTTGTTTCAAAGAGAGATATTTAGATATCACTTGCAAACTCGTAAGAAACTATAATATCATCTTTAACTCAAAATATTAAGTGAATAGATTTATTTAAGTGAATAGATTTATAATTATGAGACTTCAACAATATCTCATAAAGTGAGTATCTTTCATATTATTATACTCTCTCTCAAACAAATATATCCTTATCCGAACCAGTGGAGATAAAGTGATAACTAATGGCATTTTGAACTATCAAACTCTAAACAGCTAGAGAGGACAGAAAAGTAGCAAAGTTCTAAACAAGCGTGATTGACATAGAAGTAGGAAGTTAAATACCAGTAAAAGAAAATTATGAACCTATGTCAACACTTCAGTCAGATCACTCTTTTGACTGTCCAAGAAACACTAACTTTTAATAGCCAGAAAATGATTTAAATAGAACACAATCTTGTGAATACTTAATTATAAAATAATGGCACAATTTTGCCACCAATTATATAAGTTTTATACAACGAAATCCTCAAAATTTGCAGGACACTATTTGCATGATTAATCAATTGATAACGCTATGATTGTTAGAACCTCCAATAATATTACACTGCAAACATTAATTTCCGCCACAGTTTGATATACAATTTGGGGTTGGGGAAAGCTCAGCAAACAGGCAAGGATGATCGTCTGAACCTTTTAGTCTTCATTATTTTGACAGCTCTGAAATTAGGGAATATAAATTCAAAGGAAAGGTTTTCCATCAGGGCAAGGTAGCTTTAAGTTCTTTCCTATCAGCGCCCCAAGCCTGAAATTCAGAAGATCACCAATCAGACTTGAATAAAACACATCATCCACCAAGTAACTAAAAATATTTACTAGAACCAAACAGCATATGCATCTAATTTTCACGTAATTTAAAAAATTGGATCTGTTTTCACTTCGAGAATTGAGCAGCTTATAAATAAAATCAACCCATCCATGCTAAATTAATCTTCCCATCACGATTTCAAATATCAAAACTCTTATTTAAAGTACTCTCTCCGTTTCAAAAATGACATTTGACAGGTTTTAATTGGTTTTAAATTATGAGACTTCTACGAAACTACGTACTAACTATTTTTTCTCTTCAACTATATCCGTAACTTTTTGGTATCTCCATTAAGAAGAATAAGAGATTATTAATGGAATGAAGAAGCGAATTAAGTGAGCTTATTATATCCTTGAAATTGAGAATACTACATGAGTTTCTTAATCCTTGTACAAAGCCTTAAACAACAATTATTTTGAATCGGAAGGAGTAATAGTTTCCCCAATTTTAAGAAAAAGACTATTGCATCTTTCATGTATCTTTTGATTGGTTATACCCAAATTCATGTAACATTTGATAACAACAGAATAAAGAAAGCTAGACAAAAGAATGAGTAAAGATGAAATTTTCACTACCTCAACACCTAAACCTTTAACATATACGTTCTTAAATAAATCAGATGGCTCGGGCATTTGACTTTCCTGGAAATCAGAAAAGAATATAACTCTGAGAGACTGTAAATCACATAGCACGGCAAAAGATGGAAATATGTGGGATACCAAAATTAGTAAGAGAAGAATAAACAACACCTTTGCTTTGGCAATGACTTCGTCAACTTCTTTTC